ACATGTTTGTAACTTTGTGCCTTTACTCAAAAATTTATTTAATTTCTTCAAACATTTTCAGGATTTGTTTTTAAGCATTTAGAGGTTCCTTATTCCTTTATTCTTATGCTTTCTGATAATATTCCACATTTTCGATTGTCCGGATAAACGGCATACATTTTGAAAAGTCCCCTTTTTAAGTGGCTTCTGGTAAACCAATTTGCAGAACCTAATTTTCCCACACACAAAGTTGATCCATGTCAAATCAGATGTTCAATCGAGTCCAGAGCATTATGCAAAACACATGACAGGCAAACAGCTTAAGGAATCCCAAGAACAACAACTGGAACAGCCAACTGACAACTTCACTTATTCCAGTTGAGTTGTGACGTTCTGACCGCAGGCAGTTGGCAAATGAAGGCAAAGAAAAAGCGAGAGCCAGCAAGAAAAGCCAGTGAAAAGGCGTTGAAACGTTTCATTTCCTTCACAGCCTGCCGACACTCAGTCCAAAAAAAAGTCGAATTGGGATGGTCAAAAAAAAGAAACCGCAGGCAAATCAAAGGCAGAAGGAACCTCATTAAATTAATGCAAGCCTCAGGAGTTTTTCTCCGGCGAAAAAACCTCCTGCTGGCAACCTTGACTAATTCATGGGAAAAGCGTGTTTAGCGTGTCCCAAAGATTTGAAATGCTTGATAGGAGTGGCCGAAATGATTGGCAGGACCCCTTAAGGACAACAGTAAGCATAAGCCACAGGCTTAGTTTTGATAATATGGGGAGCGTGGAAACATTTCCTCAGATTATAAAGATAGCATGCAAAGTGTAACCCGAATTTTATTTCAGATGGACTTAACTTGCAGGAACGCAGAAGGATCAAGTTAGGGTCTTATATTCAGGATAAAAAAATTCCTTAACTTTTAGAAAAGTACATTAAAGCACCAACAAAATTATTTTACAAAATTTAACAGAATAAAAAATTGCAATAAGATTTGAATTTTATAGTCTGGCACTGCATATAAGTTTTAAACCGAACTAACCCATCTTTTGAAGAATCCCTAAATCGAGTCCAACTTGTAAAAAATTCTTTATGCATAAAAAAAAAGTTTGCAGAATATCCGAAAAATGTTTTGGAAAACCACAACAAATGCGACATGCTGAAGCACCCAAAAAAACTTTTTTAACCTTAAAGGGGCACAAGCATGAAATAAAAACTGCATGTGTTTTTACACTTGCTAACAAACAAAAACAAAAAATTGATTAATCTACTTCTTCTAAATTGTATAGAAATTTATTAGTATATTTGTTTATATTACTAAGAACTTATATTAATACTAATTCATTATTCCCTTCTTAAGTTTTGGTTTTTTCCTACTGAAGCATATTTTATATTATGTATATAATTTAAAATCCTGCTTGCTCACAGATTTTTGTTGGCAAGTGTCCCTTATTCATATACATCTCCCATATGCCCGGCACAGATTTAGAGGGACTTTCATTTTTTGTCCCCGTTCATGTTTATTTTAGCCTGCAAATAAAAAGGATAAACAACGACTGGCAGCCATGTTCAGCAGCATTTCCGCTTACAAGTCTCTTTTTTTCGGCTCTATCGGGTGACTTGTGTGTGTGTGTGTGTGTGTGAAGGTGTATGCTGGGAACCCTTTTACAGCATTTGGCTACGAACTCCTGGCGGCAAAGGCAGTCAAAAGCTATCCACTCTATCCCCAGCATATTGCTCATATTTCAGAGGCATCGCTGCTTTTCAGAGGGTTTTGGCATATGTGTGTGTCTTTTTTCCCTCGGTTGCTGCTTAGTCATGCTCATGAAACGCGAAAAACGCGACTGACGATGAAGGAGGGGAATTTTTCCAACTGTAAACAATAAATATAAACATGGGGCGCTGTGGGCGGAATCATAATAATACCATCCCACCATCGTCATCATCGCCATAATCCACATGCTGTCGTCAGTCAAGTTCAAATGGCTGGCAAATTTTTTTATAAACATTTACCATATACAAACAAATGGCTAATGCATATAGGGTTGGGGTCGATGAGGTGGTTACAGCTTTAGAAAGTGGATGTGAAGTGCTGGAAGAAGGGGTGGCTGGGTAAATAAGGGATCAGTTTGCCACAATGAAAGATAGCTTTTAAATTACAAGCTCTTTAGAGTTAGATATTCATATCATATGCTAAAACGTGTTACTTAAAGTCTGACTGGCATTTAAAAACGGTTCCACATCCCATTTAAGGAAATTTAATTTATATTATATTTCTGCATAGATAAGTATACATCCTAAGTATCGCTTAAGACTTTATTAAAAAGGGATTTTAAAGCTTATATTAATATTACTCATACGACTAGTATACCAAATAATAAATATCAAAAAGCTTTTTAAATTAGGAAATATTTTATGAATCTTTCAATGGCTAACAATTTATTACAATTCAACTCAGTTAGATTTATAACAATAAAGTCAACATACAATATAACTCAATATTACTCATACGACATGTAAGCCGCTTTTTAGACTTAAACATAAATTTAAATCAGCTTAAAGCCGAGAATGCTCGTATAAAACTTAGAATCAGTAAGATATTTAAAGATTTCGTCCAAAAATAAGAAAATTTTTTAAAAGGATTATTGTCCAAAGGAAATGAGCCCAAACTGGTTTGTCAATAAATGATGACATGTGTCCCTTTTTTTGCCCAAGCCAATTTTTATACCCTTGCAGAGCAAAGGGTATTATAATTTTGGCCAGAAGTTTGCAACGCAGTGAAGGAGACACCTCAGACCCCATAAAGTATATATATTCTTGATCAGCATCACGAGTAGAATCGGAATACGTCTGTACGTCTGTCCGTCTGTCCGTCTGTCCGTCTGTCCGTCTGTCCGTCTGTCCGTCTGTCCGTCTGTCCGTTTCTGCCTAAACTAGTCTCTCAGTTTTAAAGCTATCTCACTGAAACTTTCCCAAAATGTGTGTAGTTATTGCACGCAGTATATAAGTCGGAACGGGCCGGATCGGCCGACTATATCGGATAGCTCCCATACGAGAGAATGAAATAAAAATTCTTACTCCGTTGTTTTTGATCAGATCGACTTGAATTCTTCAAGATGGCGTTTTCTAACTGTTATTGAATTTCGGATTAAATTTGATCAAAATCGGATAACTCTATCATATAGCTGCCATAGGAGAGATCGAAAATTATATATAGAATTAATGGAAATAAATTGATAACATCGTTGTTTTTTATCCCACGAGCATGATTTTTGAATATAAAGTTTTTTAACAACGTTTATATTGAAAAAAGTTTCATAAAAATCGGTCATCTATATCTTATAGCTGCCATAGGAAAGATCGAAAAATCTATATAGAAATAATGGAAATAAAATTATAACATCGTTGTTTTTCATCAGACAAGTATGATTTTTGGAATATAGAGTTTTCTTACGACTCTTGAATTACGAATTAAATTTGATCAAAATCGGACAACTATATCGTATAGCTCCCATATGATCTATAGTCAAAAATATGGAAAATGAATAAAAAAATCGTCTTAGCTTCGATGTTGTCTCGCCTTTATGAGTTTTGTTCGACATATTTGATGACTGCAAGGGTATATAAGCTTCGGCTTGCCGAAGCTAGCTTCCTTTCTTGTCTGTCATCAGTTTTACTTTCGCTTTCGGCACATGCAAAAATTATTAGGCCCACACATAAATAAATTGTTAAAATATTTATTTATGGCCAGGACAAGTGTAAACAAAACAGAAGCGAACCCGAGAAAGTCAGAAAGCAAAAAAAAGGAAAAGATGACAGGAAAGTAAGTGCATGGACAGATAGCGATTTGCTTACCTGAAACCAACAGCTTGAGTCTGCATGAAACCAACTCGTAAATAAATACCAAAGACATAAATAAAATATCAGGGAATGGCGGAAAACACTTCCAGATCCGACCCATTTCCACCTTTCTACAGTGAAAGCGAGCGAAAAGTAAATATTAAATAAAACGCGTAGAAAACGAGGCAAACGCTACACATCTTTTGCATTTGAGTTGAGAGCCGTGGAAGTAAGTTTTGGACTTAAGTTTCAGACCACTTTTGTCTGCATGTGTAAGGATCAAAGGAGGGGGAAAGTGGGTGAATGAGGGGGAGTTACACACTCTATATCCCCATCACTCCAGTCTGTGTTATTTGCAGTGCTTTCAAACACAGAAAAATGGCTGCCATTTGTATGAAATAATAATAATGGCCTTGCTAAAAACATATGAGGATATGTGCAGTCATAAAGTCCCCATCGATTCAAGTACTTTTTTTGAGCCCTTTTTGTGCGTTCTGTCTAAAAAAAAACGTGAAAAAAATTTCTTATGTTCTACATTCGTTGAAAAGTTGAAATATTGACCAGAGATATTTTTTAGCTACATGTGCTAAGGTTTTTGACAATTCTTGAATAACTAAAGCGTTTGGTTGTATTGAACAGCTTCAATTACTTATTTAATAGCCAATCATTGATTTAACTGATTGCTTTTTGAACATTTTAATTTAATTAGGTAAAATTATATTTGAACTCATTTAATTTTTGAAAACTTTGCGGCCGACAGCGATAAATGAAAATACCACATTTGTGCAAACAAAATGAGTAATGGAAAACTAATTAGTTGTCAAAAAACTATTTACAATCAAGTGGCAACACATTGCATTATTGATTTTAATGGTTCGTGATTACGCCAAATGATTATTTACAATTAAATGCAAATTCGTATTTAATAAAATTGTATCAAAATTTTTTTTTTAATTTTCCCTAATTATTAAAATGGATTGTGAGACAGTAAATACATGAAATCAAAAAACAAAATATGAGTATAACCAAAAGTCGTACATATGTAATTAATATATGCAGGAATATATGTTAACAGACTTTTGAAAATTGTATTTTTAAAAATCAGAATCACAGTAAAATGAAGGTTTGATTCCATTAAAAGGCCATTATTTTCCACCACTTATATTCCTTCGAAATCCTCCTGTTTCAGTTGCAGATGCGAAAACGACAATGAGATGCTGGCACAATGCGGTGAGGCGCAAGAAGAAGAAGCTGGCGGCAGCGGCGGCGAGGAGGGGATCCGATGAGGCGACGGAGGGCGTGGCAGGTCCTCCAGATGGCACCTGCCAACGGCAACAACAAGTGGCCGGCGACACTTGGCTAACAACGCGGTCTGTCCCTCTGTTGTGGCTGCACTTGTTGCTGTTGGTCGCATTTGCGAAACATGCGGCTGCGGCAACAACTGCCACAAATCCCGAGGCCACGGCCACCACATTAAACAACTTTACCACGACGACGACGACATCCTCAGCCGGAGCAACATCATCCCTGGCCACCACTTCATCCACATCAGCTGCCGGCGAGAAATCCTCAAGCAGCTGGGCCATTCTGGAGGATCCGTTTAAGAATATCGTGCGAATCGGTGATGGCAACACGGTTACTCGGGTAAGTCTACTAAATAATTAAATAAGAGATAAATTTTATTAATAAAGTAAAAGGAAAATTTAATTAGAAACATTCCAAATGAAAAGATGCTTAAAAAAAAAGGAAGAAATGAAAGAACATAAATCTTGTTATTATGATAGATTTATTTAACAAAGCCTAAGAAATTAATTTGTTATTTGAATAAATTAATTCAGTAAACCCTAAAAAAGTCTATTAAAATTAATCTGTTGTTCTATTATATTAAATTGCTTTAAATTAACTATCCCATTGTTCTCAAAACAGTTTAAGTCCCTAATCCCCTCATTATAAACGTCATTATATAACGATTTCTTTTACAACATGCAAATAAAAACTGCAAATAGTTAAAACATGTATACCAAGCAGATTTTCCCAACTACTTTCCACCGTTTACACATACACAAATGTGTATTCACTGGTGGCAGCCACTCCACATTGCGTTGTGTTAGCCCCATTTAAGCTTCAATTATACAGGAGTGCAATTGAAATAATGAGAATGAGTGTTGCCCAAGTGCGGGGATGGGAAGGGGGATATTAACCCTATTCCTGCGTTCAAGGTGTATGTATATAGCTTCTGCAGCTTAGGGCACTCGGCTGAATTTAATTGAATTGCGATTGCAGTCACAAGTCCCCTTGAAATTCTCCGCTCCATTCCGAAATTTAGCAAGTGGCTATTTAGTGAGCACTTAATGATGATTAATGGGGTATAATATACAAAGGTTGTCAAGTACAGTCCGTTATAGTAATATATTGCAATCAACATTTATTTTTTATTTAATTTAATTATTGTTAGCTTATTTGGCAGAAAAAGCGAAAAAGTTTAAGGTTTATAATGCTAAATGCTAATAATGTATTTAAGTAATTGATAAAGATCCGAATAAACATCAAATTTACCCTTTAAGGTTCTACAATCATTTGCACGTATTATTCGCAAATAAAAACGAAGTTTAACAAGTAACAAAAGTTATTGCCCATTTCAAACCTTATTTGTACCTATTAAATAATATATCTTTATTTGAAAATAAAACGAGCGAGTTAACGCAGTAATAGTAAAGTGCCACACTTTCCTAGGTAGAACAATTTGCGCGTATTTTACTGCGGCTTATGTGCACATAATGAGCCCAGTTAATTAGGTTAAATGCTTAGAAGTTTAGTGTAGGACATTTTGGTGTAGATACTCGTAGAAGAAAGTTTTTTGGGGAAAACTTTATTGCACTTAAACTTCCGTATTTTCTGACCATTTCTCTTGACCAAGATGTTATTGACCAATCAATTTGCTTAACAAAGCATTCCTCAAGTTAAAATTCTTCCAAAAGCTTTTAATTTATTTTGGCTCCTTTGTCTTTTCTAATTTAAAGTCAAAAAAGCTCGCTTAAAAGCAACAACAAATTAAAGAATAAAAAGAAAAGCCAATAACGTAATTTTCCTCTCAAACGATAAAAGGGTCTAAGGAAAATGGCGATATAATGGTCGGGCACCATGAATTTTTGTTTAACCTAAAATGTATTTTTAATGCGTTTGTCAGCGGCAGACTTGAATAGACAACGAAAAATGATTTGGGTAGCCGCAAAATATAAATATGCACTGAAAAAAATGTGAAGTGAAAATCGATAAAAGAAACCAAAAGATTTTAAATACAAGAATTCATTTTAACGCTGATGATATTATCAAATCATTAAATAATTTTTATGCTGATGATATTAACAAAACAATTAAAAATCATTTAAATAATGTTGATATTTTTCTGAATTGATTAATTGCATTTTTAATGATTGCAATATTTTCAAAATCTTTTTATGATGTTCTTAAACTTTTTAGTTTCTCAAATTACACAATTTTCTTGACCGTGCATACTTAACTTTGCTCCTCATTATAAACCTGTTCCATTGATAATAACAATGGCCAATTCCCTTACCATTTACAGACGGCCATTGAACAATCGCTGGTGACGATACACGACATTGCCACCGAGAACTTGGGGACATTGTGCATCTCGACCCTATATCGACCCCTACAAGTGCCCATCAACTCGGAACGATATGAGAGCTCCAGACAGAAAGCCGATTTGGCCGCCTCGATACTCCAGGAAGTTGGCATCATTCGCCACGGCGGTGAGTTTGAGCAGAAAATAATTCCACCTACATATAATATAACACTCCGCTTCCAGCGAATATACTCGTACATATATATTTTTTATCCCATCATCGATTATTGATTTTGTTTTTGTTTGCGTGTGGGCGATGTTTGGTCTGTTATCGCAGCAGAATGACATTTTCCTGCTGGGGAAATTCATATGGCAAAGTCAATACGCGTGTCTCACATGCGGATCCGATTAAAGTGTGTGTGTGTCGGCTTGTGTGTGTGTGTGCGCGGGCTTAACTGTAACGATATGGTTCAGTTCCACGACTTTTTATTGAATGGCGGTCATTTAAAGTTATTTTTGGGGGCATTCCTCAGTCGAGCGGTGTTCGGGATTTCCGTAATTCATAAATGGGTTGGGGCCATTATACGATATTGAATTTTATTAAATGTTTAAGGGGTAAGTGAAAAGCATATTGGGTCTTCAAAGGCTTAAATATTTTAATTTGGATTTTCTATTATAAAATTCCAGACACAAGAAGTTATTTCTTTATTAAAATCAATTCATTATAATATGTTTAAACTAAATAAAGCTTTTATTTAAATGCACTTAGAAGCAATTTAACTTTTTTGTGGCTTATCTTTTAATGAAATTCCCCCGAATTTAAGGAATTTATATTGCAAAAAACAGTTTGGTGCTCTTCAGTTCAAACACAATTCCTTATATCCCTTAAGTGGAAATCTGATTCCCTTCTGTTGTGCAAAGATTTCATTTTGCCCTGAAACCTTGTAAAATGCTGTGTATATTTGTACTTATTGCCATACATGTCCTTGCTTAATTTCACAAAATCTGCTCCTTTTGGATCCCTTGTTCCCCACCGCCCTCCATTTGCTCTCGTTGGCGATGTTCCCGTAAAAGGTTCGTGGGTAAATCACAGTTGAAAACAAGAACGAATGCGACGGATGACACAACGCACAATGTGAACTTTAAATTAAATCTACAGCAACAACGTTAACATTGGGACTAACAACGGCAAAGGACGTTGCATGTGAATTGAGTGGGTGGCTTGGGAGGTGGGTGGTAGGTGGTAGGTTGCTGGTTTGGTGGGTGGTGTTGTAGGTTGTCAGGAGAAGGAAAAAAGGACCATGCGTCGGCATTGCTTGATGCGCCACAAGTGCGTCGTTCGTTGTCAACCCCAATGTTGTCGCGCGGCTGTCAGGACAAGACTTTCGTCCTGATCCCAGTTGCCAGTCGCCCAACAGCAGCCTTGACAATGCTCCATCAAGTGATGAACTGAAAGAAATATACACACCAACTTAAATCTCAAACGATAGTAAAGCAATATTAACTTATGTCTTTTAAGTTAACAAATAACGATTTAATAAAAAAACGTTTTGTAATTTAAATAATTATACATACAATTTAAAGCTTTACAAGAATTTAATTTAACCTAAATTATAAATAAGTAAGTTTAAAAAACCTTATATTCGTTTTAGTACATTAACATGTAATAAACTCAATTAAATAAAAAATATTTTAAGGCTGTTTAAACAGTTTTTCTAATCATCAAAAGCATTCAAACGTCCCACAGTTGACTAGTTTCATTTAAAAACATTTTGAAAATGAAATTTTAAGCTTTAAGCTGGCTTCCAGTAAAGGATATTTTTACCACATTTTTTATCAGCTTGAACAGAATTAAACCACATGACATCACATAATTCTGAAAGTGTAGAAATCATCCAATGAAAGGATATCAGTGTGTCATGCATGATGAAGGACGATTCGAGGCGCAGAACGCACAATGAACTCATCGCAGAGGTTTTGCCAGCCCGAGATGGCTTCGGATGGGAATCGGGATAATATAAGGAGCTGGAAGTGCTGGAGCGCACGGGCTGGCATTATGGCCATGATTTTCACGGCGCCTTGGAACAGGCCACCTTTCGGAGGGCACACAGCTAGCTATCTCTAGGTTTTCTGTTCGTGCTCAAAAAGGTGGGACGTGTCAGCGAAAATCGCATAAAACGGGGGCAAATTGGTGCCCTTTGTTGGTGGTGCTGCCTGTATTATTGTTCCATCGTCCTGTTGAGCGCAGGAGCAACAGGACGGCAGCCATTTGTATACAATTTCGGCACTTGCCTCTATCTTACCGTTGGCCGCCCGTGTTGACTCCTGAAATTTTGATGCGCCGCATAAATTATTCGTACAAAGTGCCCTCGCAAATCGAATAAATTTAAACCAATTTAAAAGGGGCAACAGCGGCAGCCACTCAAAAGGATATCCCGGTTCTGAAAAGAGTCGACCTCTAAAGAGTGAGAGGTGAAAAAGGATAGGAAAATCTTTTGCCAGCTCTTTAAACTTAAATTGAAAGGATACGTGTGAAAACCATGAGTATGTACTTTTCGTTTAAAGATAGATAAAAATATTGGGTTGCATTACCTATCTATTTTTTATCAATTCTTTGAACATTCTTTTAATGAACAAACACAACAGATTAAACGAAATTCGATCTTTATTCAAATGTAACAAAATAGAGTACACAATCAATTGAATCTCTTGAACCCCTTAATTATTAAATGCGCCACTTGTTGTTCTCGAAACAAAAACCTAAGGGAATCGCCCGTTTTGGGGGAAACCGAATCTGGGGTAAATTTAATTATTCCTGAAACACCTGACATCTGCAAAAAATCCTACATGAGGCAGCAAAAACACGTCAGACTGTAGTTTGAATAATTGCCAATTTTACACTCTCGGGAACCTTTGTTTCGCCCAGCAGTCAAGAAAAAAGGCACACACAAATTGTTACAATTGTTGTTACACTTTTGCTGCAACACCTTCGCTGCGAGTAAAACAAAAACATGCCCAGAAGGCGATAAATTATCCAACTATCCGAAAAAAAACGGAAAAGAGATTGATGACGGAATACGAATACGGACGAGTGCGGAACAAAATGGCAGAGCGGATGATGAATGTCCCGTGACCCATAAGCACATCATTCCCGTTATTCGGCCTGTCGCAGTGTGTTACCTCCTCCTCACGTGGAAGGCGGCTGACAGCCATTCCGAAATGTTGTTTACCATAAGCGTTCTGTCTCGGCCACGTTCCTCCGAATAGTGCTAATGGAAAGGATAGAAAATGTGCACATATGGCTACAGTGAAAAAAATAGGAAATATAAGTTAATAGATAACTTTTAAAGTCTTATCTGCAAACAATTTCCACAGCTGATAGATGTAAAAAAGAGATTTAAATCTAATACATCGATTTAATAACGTGATTGTTCTACCTAGATTTAGCTTGGGTATTGTTCAAAAAACTTTTTAAGGAATATATTACGTGAATCATAAACACTTACTTTTATTAAAAGACATAATAAAACTATAAAGGTCGATTTTATTAACACCTTTAATCCACCCTCTGAACTTAAATAGAGTATAAAAGTTAAGATCTGATAGAAACCTTTGACTAATTTGTTTGTATTCGCAAAACACTTGATATTAACCCGCTTTTGTTCTATCCTATATAATTACATAAATATATGTATACACTTTACGTCAATGCACACATAATTTCCGAGCTCCTGAGAGTAAAGCAAACGCTGATAGTACAATAATTTATTTTATCGGATGGATATGGTACACTGGTACACGTACATTGCCATTTAGACCACGTATACTGGCGTATTGCAGATTCTTTGTTTCAATTTCACTCCCTTGCCACCGAATCAAAAAAGTTTACCAACTACAAAAATCCACGTACACGGTTTATGTTGCTTTCTCCCGGTTGAAAAAGGAAGAAAACTTTCCAGGATGTTGCGCGTACCTTCTACAGTAGCAAAAACAAAAACAAACAGAAAAAGGAAAGCAAGCAAACCCTATACATACTAAAACATAAAAATAAAGAAAGTACGGAAGTTGCGGTAATCGAATTTAAATAAGTTTACTTTGTAAACAATTCTCGTTTCGCTTTCGCTACTTCTCCCTCCCTTTTTTTCTTCACTTAAAATCAAACATCAGTGTTTTCGTTTTAGCTTTTTTCGGGATAACCCATTATTATTTATCGCAGCTTTTGAAGTGGGTTATAATTTATAAATAATATTGTGGTTTTTGGAAAGCAATGAAATATAATTTTGGCATACTACCCAAAAAAGAGTGTCGGCAACAATGAAGTTAAAATTGTGTTTGTGAATTACATATAAACTTTTTTTAGTTCAAATAATGTTTTTCAATTTATAATGTACATACAAAAACGGGCTTAGCTTATGATTTTTAACAAATTTAACAGTGATTAAATGTTATTTATTTTTTCTATGATTTTAAAGGTTGTAGTAGAAATTAGAATGCAAAATTACAGTAACTTCTATAAATAAAAATATATTTTGTTGCTCATCGCTATCAGTTTAGCTTGCTTAGGAGTTTCAATTCTAAAAACTTGTCAGCACTAAACGCAAATAGCGGGCGAGTGTTGCAAAATATTAGCTTTTGACAGTCACTCGCATACTGGCAAGCGATAGAGCGAGAGGGAAGGGCTGAGAAAGAGAAGGCCTCTGATGTCCTGCCGCGCATATTAATCATTGTTGTTGGGTTGACACTTTCGCCAAGGACGAAGGCACAACTGCAATAACAGCTGCGGCTTTTAATGACTGTTTCAAGGTCGCAATAACAATAACAGATGTTTCAAGTTAAGCGCTTAAAGTTTCTGGAATTTCAGCCCATTGCGTTAACAATGCGAAAGCACTCGTTACGCGATTAACACATTTAATTGCACATGAATAATTAATGTGCATGTTCATTCCACCCACCCAAAAAGAAATGTCCACGTTTCAGAGTTTATATAAATAAAACCTTTGTTTAAATTAAGAAATCAAGGGCAGTTGTTCGTTTAAGTTAAGGAAATATCCCAGAAAAAATTCTTTATCTGACAAATATTTTTATTTTTCCGGAAACAAACCTTTAGTTGACTTTAACTAGCCTTATAACTGCTTCGAAAGTAACATACAAAATATTTTTAAAAGTATTTGTTAATACTACATTTTAGAGCAGTTTTTAATACCCAAAAAAAATTGTTCTTTAATACTTGATTTTTTAATACCTCTCCAAACAGAGTCCGATTTAAATTAAGTTGAAATTGCAAAAATATTTATGTAAATCGCTGAGAATGCAATCAAACGAAACACTTCGGTGGCCGGGAAATCAACAATGAAAATGCATTTCCCAGGGGGCAATCGAAATGAAATGATGGCAGGCCGAAAATGAGAGCCGCAGCCTTTTCACCATAAATAATTAAAGTCGGGCAATTTGTGCGCCGTAATCAGTAATTACGACCAGTGAAGTGACACGACCAATTCGTTTTCGTGCGATGTGCAAGTACGACTTTTAATTACTTTGTGCGTACTTTCATTTAATTTCCGCCACCAATTATTGAAATAACATTTTTGGCATGTAACCCAGAAAGGTAATATATTGCCAACCAGTCTGAATGTTTCTCTCTTCCTTTTTCAGGACTGTCGGATGCTCTTGCCAAGGGCCTGCTCACCGATGACTTTATAACCGGAGCCCGAATCCTGGCTCTCAATCTGACGAACGGAGCGGTGCAGTCGTACGTTTGGTGGGTCAAGGCGGGGCAGGCGGAGACGCAGCGCTACGACGAGGACGGCCTGCAAATTGGCAAAAAACCCGCAGGCAGCTATCCCTGGTGGGTACCGAGAAACCAAAGCCAGCCAGTGCTGGCTGAATTTCAGATTAGAGCCGCTAATTGCTATGTTTTGCAAAAAATTGTACTTTAAGTAGTTGTATTTAATGCCAAGCCAAGCAATATGTTTCAAGAATTATAAGGAGTTGGACAAATTAAATAGTTTTTAATAGATGAAAACATATTTATATTTATAAACTTATTTAAACTTACTACTAAATAATTTAGTCTTTTTGAATAACTTATATATAACTACATATATAGAAATTATTATTCACTTAATAAATAGCCTATAGTCAGAGAAAACTTGTTATGTTCTTAACTTCGATGATGGTTGAAATATGGAATTAAAAGTCGCTTTAAAATTTTAAGATATTAAAATTCACCTGTTTATTATCTTACTTCTAGAATTTATTAAAGCTTAAATCTTCAATTCAACTTTTTAAATTATTCTAAAATTTGTTTACTTTAAAAAATTTAATTAATATCAATAAACAATTGTATGTAATTTAAGTAACACTGTATATGAACATTTTAACTCATTGGTCCATTAAACCGAAATTAAGTCAGAGTATGTAATTATCAATTAACTCTTAAAAATAGTTTGTAAAGTGACAACACTTCAAGGACACTTCCCTCAGCACCCGCATTAATTTGGAATCTCCTCCACAGGTTCGACGATGAGACCTCCTCGCCCACGCTGCGTTCCCCGAAATTCGCTCCCAGTCCGCCGAACAACTACTACAAGGGCTGGTGGACCTTCCCCTACTTCTCGTGCTCCCTCAGCCGGTGGCTGGTGTCCTACAGCATCGCCATCCCTCCAACTGGTCGCCATGGCTTAAGGGGCTTCATCAGCATCGACATCGACGTGTCCACTCTGCGGGTTAACCAGTGCGAGGCGGAGCCCTACCAGTTCGGCAGTCGCCGCCAGAAAATGCAGCAGCTGCAGCAGCAACACCGCCTCACTTCCCGGAGATCCCCGTTCCTCGGCGGAAGGACACCCGTCTTGGACGAGAGCACCATCAACGACCTGCAGGCCTTCCACAGCTCCCACAAGTGTCATCGCACCTCCATGGTGGTGAGTGACTTGGGGTTGTCTTCAGTTTTTAAATGATATTTGGTTTTCTTTTCTTTGGTGCAATATATTTAAAATTTATTGAATCAATTAACTTAATTTTATTTTTATTTTAATAACACTGCACAAGTAAGTGTATATCATTTTTGAAGAGGCATATTTTTAAAAGCAAATGTATTATTTCTTGCATTCTTTGGTTTTTTGCTAGTGTTTTTGTAAAGCAGTAATGCCTTATGAGCCAAAGTTAATTCGTGTCACTTTAACCTGTAATATATAGGTACTTTATTTAATGGTTAAACTTTAAGAGTAACCTGAATAAGTATTTCATAAAAAAATGTGCAGAATTGCAGTTTATAGTAAAATATATATATTTAATCTATTAGTCGATCATTTTGTATTTTTATATGCAATATAAAATATGTAACATATTTCAATTAATTTTATCTGTTTGTTTTCTCCTTGGCAGTGCGACTACCGCCAGCCGAGTTCGGAGGCGCCGACAATAACGGGCGGAAAGGTGCTGACCACGCCCAGTGGAATCAGCTGGGCGAGGGGCTCGTACCAGTGCCTCTGCCGCGGGGGATTCTACTCGCTGCGCCACCCGGACGGATTCAACGGCACCATCATGGAGATCGCCTGGCAGGAGCAGCAGGAGAACATCAGCAACTACTACACGGACGTCTTCAAGTGTTTGCCCTGTGCCCCCCGGCTGCGACTCGTGCACGGGTCCAGAGCCGTGCTTGGCCAACTACCACTGGCCATTCAGGTGGGTGTCCGTGATTATTGACCAGCAGTTGTAGTATATTGTGGTATATAGTATAGTACTATCTTTGTTACCCGGCTAACATCTAGTACCAGTGGTCAAGAGGGTAAATGGCACTGCTCAGTAAGCAAACAAACATAAAAGATGAAATGCACCAGTAACCAACTGCAGTTTATTTTATTTACTGGGTGATAAGTATTTGGTTGTTTATTTTAAGTTCATTTATATTGATTGTCATAACTAAAAAATAAAGCACTTTTTATTTAACAATTCATTTAAGAGTCAATTTACTATAGGGGCTTGTACTTGTTCTTTAACCGATAACAATTTAAGCAATATATATATGGTTTGTTATTAAAACAGGAAGCATGAGAATAAACGGCGAAGGAAATCGTTGCCTACCACCATTTAATTGTTTACTTCGTAAATATTTAATGAAGCTTAAATTACTCTTAAATGTAGGCTATATTTTTGGTAACAGAATAGTGGACAACCAGTATTTACATGCTAGTAAAAAATAATTGACGTGCAATGAACTTTTTCCCATTTTCTGTATTTTTTTTAGTTTTAGTAAAGGAGAACCTCCTTAATAAATATTTGTTAATTTTTTCAGAATATCCCTGTTGACCATATCCATTGGCTGTGCCTGCGGCACCTTCGTCCTGGCGGGATATCTCTTCCGGCATCGCCGCGTGAAGGTCTTCAAGGTGGCCAGTCCCATCTTCCTGATGATCACGCTCATTGGTTGCGCCATCATGTATTTGGAGGTGAGTACACGGGTCATTTGTCCCGACGCTCTTAACCCATTAAGTCGGCCGAAAGCGGAGGGGGGGCCAAAAAACACACAAAGGCCATTTGAAAACATTGCTGCTAATGCGACAAAAGGACCAACGTGGTCGGCACGCGCTCATTCATAATTAACCCACATGTGAACCCGTTTTGGTTCTTGTCCCGCTCCCGTTTTTACTGCTAAGGGGATCTGCGAACAAACCACAACATAAAAGTGCCACTTATGGGTTTTTAAATGCGGCTTTTAAGCCCTTACTTGTTGAAAGGGTATAGGTGGCCAAAAGGGTTTTTGAATCACGGAAATGCTATACATAATACATTTATTTTAGATTTTACCTGGGCTTGTTACATTTTCAAACAGGTGGTAGTAAAGCTTATCGTACCATCAATTAAAAAAAAAAAAACAAATTGTTAAATAAAGTATTCATTGTTTTGATTGTAATATCAGGAATTTTTTATGTATAATATTTACTATAACATTTAGTTGGAATCAACCAAATAAAAACCCAAATGTGCATTTGAAATAGCTAAAGCAATTTTAAATTTATTCTATTAATGTGCCCCCATAATGCACTTAAATAGCTACAAGCTACAAGCTGAAAGCATTTTCATTAAAAAAGTACACGAGTCTACCTCAAAAAGGGCAAACAACGTTCACCTGTAGAAAACACTTAGCCTCCTGTTCCTTTTTTTCTCTGGTTGGCAATTATGTTGTCAGCATTAGGGAACCGACAATGCTAAGCCACCCAGTGGACACATAAAACCACCGCCAGCCACTAAACAAACACACAATGGCAACACAAGAACTTACAAACAATACAACAAATGGGTTAGCAGGTTGGAATGTAAGAGGCAACTTAAAGAGAAAGTGGATAAAAGTGTTACAGATTTTCTAATCAAAATACACAACATAAAATTCAAAAATAACATAAATTGATGGGAGAGAATTATGAGCAAGAAATCATTGAAATCCAATCGAAATGGGAAAGATTCAGGTTCGGACGAGGAAGATGAAGAAGGACTGCAGGAGGCGCTGAAGGAATTGGTCAAAATTCCTGATATAGAAACTATTGAGGATAAAGATAAAAATAAAGATGAGAGGGAAGTAAAAAAACAAAGAAAAAGTTCTCTAAAGGTTCCGAAAAATCAAGTAGAACAAGGATCACAAACGGTCGACAATCGTGAGAAGGCAAATCCATTGAAACCTTATTTAAGTAAAATAGATAGCGATGACAGCTGGACTACTATTTTCATAAGAAGGTTTAGCTGGAATAAAAACCCAAAAAGTGAAAGCACCCCACCAGAAGTTAAGCCGAATATAGACAAGGAAAAACAAAATGCTGTAGAAATTATATCAAAGCAAGTGAAAGAAAATATAAAGGATATTAAAGGCGACGGACTGCATAAAATAAAATCTTCCCCCGAAAGTTCAAGCGAAAGATTAATACGAACGGAACATTATGGTTATTCTATACCAAGAACTTGGGAAACAAAAAACAATACTCATGATTTAAGCGATGAAGAATCAGAGGAAGATACGCCGGAGTTTATTGAGAAATTAAGAAAAATTGAAGAAGCATCAAAGCCTAAAACTTGGAAGAGGCCGCAACCAACTATCATTAAAAACAAACTCTATTCTTCTTCACATAAAAGTAGAGAAAATCAATTGGAAGTGAAGTCAAATAAAGATAATGAGGAACAACATAGGTACATAAATATATTAAACGCTCCATTTCAGCGGAACCTAAAATATCCTGCAGTTGATGAAACTAACAATCCACTAACTTTAAATAAAGTTTCTGAAGATAAAGATACTCAATCAATTGACCCTGAGAAAGAAACTCCAGAAGGAGTACCGATTGAAAGTGCGGCACCACAAAATGTGGCACAAAAATCACATAAACTTCAGGGTAAAAAATCTAAAGAAAAGTTCAAGGAAAAAAAGGCAGATACTACCGATTCGCAACGAACTTTGACAATCACGGGGCACTCGCATATTACAACAAAATGGGATAATCATTGTCATTTTAGGGAAAACCAACACGGAGTGGATAAGAAAGCCCGACGGATTTTGATTATCGCCTGCGTTCTGTGTTTTGTGTTTCTGATCGTCGAGGTTGTTGGAGGAGTTGTTTCCAATAGTTTAGCCATTGCCACGGATGCTGCCCATTTGCTCACGGATCTGGCCTCGTTTCTCATTTCCCTGTTTGCACTTTACCTGGCTGGAAGACCCTCCTCGGAGCGATTGAGCTTTGGCTGGTACCGGGCAGAGGTCATCGGCGCCATGATATCCGTCTTCTTTATTTGGGTTATCACAGGTGAATGGTAAATATTCGGCGTCTAAAACAAGACACTCCTAACAACATACTTAATTTATACATACTTATCAAATACTAAGACTTTATAAGTTGAGTGAAATTTAAGAAGCTTTTCTTCATGCGATGCCGACTATTTCTGAAAGATTCAAGTGATCTTTCTATTTTTTGACAGGACAAAATATTTATAAAAGTAAAGAAATAAGATTAATTCATAGTTGGTCGCACAATTATGCTCACAGGTTTTGTACATTTTGTAAAGAGTTTAATTAAAATCGGTAACGGTATGCTAAATAGTTATATCTTAACGGAGAAACTAGTTCTCAATTGCAACAATTTGTTATCGAATCTTCATTAGCCTGAAGACAATATTTTTATTTCTTAAAATAAACCACCTATTCCTTATCACAGGCATCCTTGTTTATTTGGCGATTATGCGTTGGGTTAATCAAGAATTCGATCTGGAGGCCAAGATAATGCTGATCACCTCGGCACTGGCCATTTTATTTAACATAGTGATGGCCGTGCAGCTGAATCACGGGCACTCGCACTTTACACCAGGGAAAGTCAAGCCAACCAAAGTCTTAGGATCCCAGCAGGGAAGCAAGATTGGTTTGGAGTCCCAAAAACCCAGCCTCATAGGAAGATCGATATCCACCCAGTTTGCCGTGAAAGGAGAACACCAAAATATTAATGTGCGAGCGGCTTTTATCCATGTGATTGGGGATCTCCTTCAAAGCGTTGGGGTTTTTATCGCTGCGTTGATTATTTTCTTTAAGCCTGAGTGGGCTTTCATGGATTCGATTTGCACGTTCCTCTTCTCGGTGCTCGTCCTTGCGGTCACATTTAAGATCCTGAAGGACGTGTTAATGGTTCTAATGGAGGCAACCCCGGATTTCATGGACTACGAGGAGGTGAAGCAAACATTTCTTTCGATCCCAGGAGTTGAGCACGTTCACAACCTGAGGATCTGGGCCCTGTCCATCAATAAGATCGCCTTGTCCGCTCATTTGGCCATTTCCAAGGAGGCCGATCCTCAGCTGATCCTCGAGGAGGCCACTATCCTGATCCACAAAAGGTACAGATTTTTCGAGACCACCATCCAGATTGAGGAGTATTCTCCTGAAATGGAGAACTGCGAACAGTGTGCGTGGCCTACGGAGAAAAAGGATGCGCGAAGGACTTTGGATTTGGAAGAGGTCGTGGCCAATGGTCACCGCAAAAATGAGGAGATGGAGCCAACAAACAAGGAAAACTGATGTCTTTTGTTAAGCTTAACGCCATTATGTTTACTTGTATATAGATAAATATACCACATCTTTGTAAAAAATAAATATTTAAAATTTCCAAAAAAAAGTGTTGATAATTTATGTGATGTAATTTTTTTTTATAGTAAGCGACTAGAAATTTAAGTCGTTTAAACCATAAATTGAGGAAAAAAAAAATTCAATTAAGTGGCAATTTATACCAAAATAATACAAGAAATCTTGTAAATCATCTTAAAGATTACAAATAATAATATTTTAAATGATAATAACCCATATTCCTCGTTTTAGATGGTGGCCATATTTCCCTATTTGGATACAACTTGGTGTATTGCAACAAAATGGACCCGGCATATGGGTTTTTGCATCACCTACACTTCGCTGCTTATGAAAACTTGGAGGTATATATCACAAATCAAATAAATCAATTTTCAACTACTAACTCTTACATAACTTTCAGAGTTTCTTTGACTTATCGTGTCAAGTCAGCCCACAAAATAAAACTAAATGATCAGCAACTTTTGCAGTGGATGGTGCCCATTTTATTGGTTATGCTGATCTACTTGGGAACCTGGACCATTTCGGCCACGCCTACTGCTGAAGTGGTAATTAAAAACCATACTGATTACTGGTTAAACCAATTTGATTATTATTTGAAAATATGTTGCATTTATACAACAATCTAAGCAAATTTTCTGATCACTCCAAAATATAGTACACTTCCCATTTAACAACCTTTGCATGTTAATATATTTTCTCAATTTAAAAATACTTTTCCAGATCTTGGATCAGAGCAGTTTGAAGTTCAAGCAGTGCTCGTACAATTGGTGGGATCACAGCTTGGCCATCGGAGAAGTATTCTTCCTGGCTTGGGGCATCCGGGTGTGCTACAATGTGCGGAATGCGGAGAGTTTGTACAACGAGGCACGGCTCATCTCGTACGCCATTTACAACATAGCGCTCGTCAATATCGCAATGGTCGCGTTCCAGTGAGTGCACCCAAAAAAATATTGTTTTATAATTATTACACACAAAAAATTAAGGATAAAAAAATTTTCAAAATCAATGAAATATAATATTATAGATCTTTATCTTATAAATGCATTCTGCCAAATATTTGTTTTCATTTTTTAGTACAGAAACGAGTAAAAAATTGCAAAACATTTTACAACAAAATGCTTGTAAATATTATATACATGTATAGCTTTTTTGGTTCAGATAAAATTTATATCGTTTAATCATTTACTCATAATAAAACGCTGTATAAAAAGTTAAAGGCATGTTACACAATAAACTTAGAATGCTTTATATTCTTCATTATTTTTTCTGCACAAAAAGATTACCAATTTAGCAAGAAAAGCGAGCGTAAATCGATTAAAAATTCGCTTTGTGCACTTCTGCCGAAAAGGACAATCCGGCCACCTGATGAAGTTCTTCCGACACCGAATTGAATTATATCAGTTGACACATGTTGGGGCACGCGTCGCGTCCATTAGGGGAAATGTAAAGCCGCCAGTCTTACGCGGCCCGCTTTTAATTAAATTCCATTGCTTTGTGCGCGCTCGTGTTCGCGTTGTAATCCTTTTTGTTGTCCTGTGAGGACTCGCATCCCGCCCGCCTTGTATACGGGCCTCCAACTGGCTGTCCCCCTTTGTTTGCATAGACATTCCCGGGCATTCTCTTCGGTTTCAAGTTGTCTGCTGGTTTGCTGCGTTTCGCAACGGAAATCCCTTTGAAGAAGTCCTTATAATTAATGCAATTTGTTGGGGAACTTGCTCTGCCACGCACCTAAAGCAATCACAATTCGGATAGGTTTGAATTTTAGATAGACCTAATCGCTTAGCGCCAAAAGGTGCCAAAACATGTTCTTATGAAATGTTAAATAAATTTTACAAATGTATTCATGCTTGGGGGGGGACGGTGGCCCAGCAGGTAGAGCGCTGGCCTCCAGTTCGAAAGGCCCGGGTTCAAGTCGAGCCCCAGGCTCCCCGAGAAAAAGAAACGGTCTCTTTTTCCAAATCTCCACCACTTCTATGCTCTATCGCTCACTTAACATTAGTAACAAATTTCGGCTCCCCGGACCCGCACACCCCCTCGTCCACGTTACTATGGACCCAACAATAAAACTTTCGTCACTCCTAGATGGCGCCAGGTGGCATCCCCACCGCTAGGATAAGTCGCTACTGGCTTATCACCGGTACGATCGAAAATCAATGATAACGAATCCTCTACAAGAAATTGTAGAGGCTCTAAGCTCCCGATTGGAGTAACAGAATGTAAATTTTTTTTTTATTCATGCTTGAACCTTTTTGAACTGATTTTATCAACAATGTTTTTGAATCATATTAATCTAACTAGTAGAAAACTAAACTTTACTTACTACTTACTTTACTTACCAACTTTTATTTTAAAATGTTCTTACTATAACTTTAGGTCTATTATGTTTCTTTATTTGTTTTCGAGTTTTGTTTTTTCTTTACTCTACTTATATTGGAATGATTCTGTACAGCATTTTGCAAACTAATTTAAAGAATTTAAAGAATTTAAGGAAGTATTTTGGAGTATAACGTATTTTTTTTAAATTTTTTATCCCAACAGCGTGATGCTCTTTCCGAATGCTGGACCGGATTACAAATACATGTTGGGATTTGTGCGAACGCAACTTTCGACGACCACCACAATTGCTCTCGTTTTCGGGCCAAAAATACTGCGAGTTTTCAAGGGTCAGGGAGACAAGTGGGATCAGAAGGCCAAGGTGAGGAGCATTACAGCTTCCTTTTCTCTAAATGGAGTGGGTCTCGTCCCAGAAGAGTCGCCAGATTTGTATCAGGAGAATGAGGAACTTAAGGTAAGTTATTGAATTAAAAACTCAATTGAAAAGGATTTAAACAATATTCTTTGACAGGAACAAGTCCAAAAGCTGGCCCACCAAATCGAGTTCATGAAGACTGTACACATGCAGATGAACAACAGGCATCTGAAGCCAAAGCCGGGCGGATATTTTACCATAACGTCAACCTCGTTCCAAGCGCCCTACAGCAAAAACACGGTTTCCTCGGCGCAGACGCAAACTGGAAAAGATGAGTCCAGGTAAGCAATAGGGAGATATATTTAAGATTTTTTTTTAACAGGGCTTTCAAAATCGCTAAAGGTTTTTCGAACATTTAATCATGAATATCCTTTTCCATGTTTGCTTTACTTTTTTAGAATTGTTGAACCAACCAAAAAACTACAATTTAAAGTCAAATTTACAATTTACAAATTTCTTGGCTGAACACACTTTTTCAACATTGTTAAACCTTTTGCAGGAGATGATAATTTTTAAAGATTTTTTAGTTTAAAAAAAATGGTTAAGAAGCATACAATAAATGTTTTAGATATATTTTGTTTAGGAATATTTCTAGAGTTATTAAACGTTGTCCAAAACTGTTTAGCTGAATCCAAAAAAAAAAAAAATTTTCAAAGGAAATGTCCTGTTAAAGACATTTTAAATTTCACGGAACTACGAGTATAGAGAATATATATTTTTTGAAGTGTCTGGAATCATGGTTAATTATTTTTACAATCCATCTGTAATCTCTTGCTTTTAAAATCTTAATTGCAAGCTTCGGATCTAAATATTTTACTTATCTACAAATCGTTTTTGTTTTCCAGTAGCACGCCAACGAAATTAAAGTCGCCCAAGGGCAAAGTCTGACGAGGTCAACGAAGTGTTAAAGATTGCTCAATAGAAGTGGATGGAGGAAAGGGCGTCGCCACCAATCCTGTGGAGGACGCCATTGAGTTTAATTTCTACGAAGCAGAACCGGAGAAGATTTTTACCCCGAAGGAGGAGCAGGATCAGCCAGGATCAGAGGAGGCGGAATTGATTGCCCAGTTCCGCCGTCTCTTTGCGCCCATTTTGGATGACAGCTTGAATCTGTACTACCAACTCAACGACCTGGATGAAACGGAGCACGTGAGGATCCATCAGACGGTGGCGCACATGAGTGAGCTGACCAGCAGTGGAGAGGAGACGACGCAGGTGACCCAGGTGAACAGCCCGTCGCCGCCGGCGGAGGTGGAGCTAATGCTGCCCTTCTCCAGCGGGAGCTCCACTTCCAGCAGTTCCCTCTACGCGATCCACACTCCATCGCCGGCTCATCCCAGTGGTCTGATCCTCGTGCCCGGGAATCTGGAGTCACCAGTGCTCTCCTGCAGCGATGGTATCACGATCACCGAGCAGGTGCAGCTCCACAATCCCCCGCATCATCTGCAGATCCTCGAGGACGACAACAACACGTCCTGTTCGCTGTCATCGAATTTGACGGATAGCAAAACCCTGGATGGTCGAACCCCAATTGTGGTGTGATTTCGAGCCCGATCTGCTTAACTTGTGATTTTGTTTACACAGTCTAAGGAGCAACAACAAACAGTTAGCGAATTATGAACCGCTTAATGTTTAAAATAGTCTTAATAATGTTTGTGTGTATGTGTCTGTCAACGTTGTTTAAATATTAAATGCGTTTATGCGGAAGAAATGTCATTCAATCTTAGCTTGGCTTAAATACTTTTTAAACTCTTCTAATTGAACGAATACAAAGTTATTAGCAACATCCCACCAATGATTTAAAAAATATTGATTGATTATATTGGAAAGAGTTCGTACACAAAAATTTGTAAGCTATTTGTTCTTATATTTTTAAGCTTTCCATCATATTGTTCTTGTATTTTCCTACCGCATAAACGCAGTCTTCATGAGTATGTTTTGTTTTTGGCTTTTTAACCATACACCCAGCCATTCCATCATCCATGATCTCCATCGTTTTTGAAACCGGAAAGGATCAAAATTGAGCAGATTTTTCTCACTTCGTTCGGATCGAAAAAGGAAGTTGTATAGTGAACTGTAGACAGCCAGGATGGTCCGATGGGACTCATAGAGTCCATCGAAGCCCCTAGGGACTTGGCATTAACAAATCTCATTTTTCTTTCATGCACCTAGCGAAATAAATTGTATTTTCCTTGTTCTCTCTGCACTCCTTCATAGGACATTTATTCTTTTCTTTGTAGTTGAATTAACATGATTTCCATCATCATATGATCTATACTAACTTACATTTAAGCTTAGCAAAGAGTCGATTTTAGTGTACAAGATGATACATATACATAATGATATAACATGGGTATATTGCAATTTTAGCGAAATATTTTAAGCTGAGAAGTGTTAACAGACGCGCAATTCTTCTTCATACAGTTGGGAAATACGTATAATGGAAAGTATTCAGAAATTTAAACAGAAAAACCTAATAAAAAAAATAAATGGAATAAAAAATACAAAACATTTATAAGTAAGTTAATGTTAAATTAAAATATTGTAAAGGAAACAACATGGCAAGATCAAAACATCAATAATAAATGTTATAAAAATTAAATAGTGTTTTCATTGGTTGTCTCTTTAAATAAAAGAAAATGGGTAAAATGTATTCTACAATCCCTTTTAAAACTTTTTGATTTGATTTCATTTGAGTATGAAGTTTTTGTCAATAATTTTATTTTCAATCTTTTTTTCCTTACAACTTCAAGCACCAACTGTCGTTTCTCGCACCCTTTAAAAATTCTTTTTAAGTTTATACGAGTTTTCAAAATTTTCCATAATGCGGGAGGAGGATCTTCTTGACGAGGAATTCGAAAGCCTCCGTCGCATTGCATTGGCCATTTGTCAGACCCTCGGAAGACCAAAGGATCGGGAATTATGCAGGAGCACCCTCGATACGGTGGCAAATTTCAATCGGGATCCATCCATCAAGACCAAGGAGAACGTGCACAAGTTCATGGTCTTCTATCTGAAAGTGCTTAGGTGGACACAAAAGAATCAACCCCTTGAATTATATCGAAAATGGGTATGTCTGGTGCATCAATCCAATAATTATAATTCAACTTCAATCATTTTTTAGTATGGTCAAGACCTGGGTAATTCGATGTCCCCTAAAACTGGCGGCAATTCTAATGAGGAATTGCGAGTTTGGTTGGAGGAGGGAAAGTCTTTTTATGCTTTAAAAACCTTTGAGGACGGATCCACAACCATTTTCAGCGCAGTGGCAAAGGATCCGAAAGCTGGTTGGTCAGAAAATGGTCTGAAAACTTTGATGGAAATGCAAAGCGGTTGCGCTTTGGGCACAGATAATAAATAAATGGTTTTATTTACTTTGTATGTTTGTGTGTATATTTCGATTGCGGATGGATTATTCGAGATTCGATGTGTACAAGATTCTGGTTTAAGGATATGTGGGTTCGACAATATTTGATACAATATAAAAGCGAAAAGTAATCCTACACAATTTAGGTTTAACAACTTTTGATACATCTTTTTTTGTCGTGTTAGCGTCTACAGCTGTCCTTCATGTCGCAAATTTTACTGCAAAAAGGAAATTTATACTATGAGCAAATTTGTATATGTACTCTAGTTTGTGTACATAGTTCATTCGAAGGATAGATAATTCTTTTAAGAAAACTAACATATTTAAACCTTGACTTAATGATTGAAGGAAAAAATTACTTTTCGCTTTTACAATATTTTAACTTTATGCTGTCAGCCGTCACTATCTAGCTTAACATTTACACTTGTGTATAACTTTTTGACTTAACTTAAGGCACAGAAAAGTGGACGGAATGTGATTCTTCTTCAGTATCAAAAGTCATTCTCAGCTTAGAAACTAATAGAAAGGGAGAGGTGAAAAGGCACTTTTTGTCTTTTTTGGTGGGGGAGATTCAGTATAGTTTCTCCATTAACTTCTCACGATCCTTGAGGCAGCGCCAATAAGCAGGAATCCCAGTAGTAGCTGCACGGATCCGTGGACTTGCTTGAGGCTGGAGCCATTACAGCTGTCGTTGGAGCAGTAGCACTCCTCCCAGTAGACGCCATTCTCGTAGACGCCCCAGTTGCAGGCGCCAGTCACTCCGGTGTCGGAAACGGAGGCACAGCGCCGAATAACTTGACGCCACCGACCGTCCCCTGCGAAAATAAACAAGTGGATATTAATTATATTGACTGTAAATAGAGCAAGTGAATTAGATTAAAAAATGGATTCAGACTGGCTGTAATTTCTTTTTCACTCTTTATAAAACCCAATAAGCTTTCGGTCATATCAATGGTTTTATGACCACTAACCTTCTTTTCTAAATAATAGGAATAACTTATCGCAGAAATTATGCATATTTACTTCGTTCAAATCATTATCTTGGTTTTTTAAAAGGTTATCTAACTTCTTAACGAAGGCTTTAATTGTAAATTTAAGCATACAATTTTGAGGGTAACGCACCTGCTACATAAAAGTCTTCAATAATGGTTCAAAAATTGAACACTTATTCGATTGAAATATGCCTGTGGCTTAAAGCACAGCTAGATATCCGACTAGAAATCCCCATTAACAATTTAGTACCCCCCACTTACAAATGAATCCTCGAGGACCCTGCTGAACGACCTTTATGCAGAAGGATCCTGGCATGTGGCTCTCGTCGCTGTTGCATTCGATGGCGATGTGTTCCGTTCGGTTAAACCTCTTATAGGCACCGCAACTGTCGTGTCCTTTGCGATCCTGGTCCGAGGAGCACTGGTAGCACCTGATGGCCCAGCTGCCTGCAATTGTTGATTCATTAATTTAGTTTACTCAAAAACACTTGTGAAGCCACACCCAAAAGCCGAGATTAAAAGGTGGCTTATTGGTATTTTAACAGCCATGGCGTAATTACCCACCGCAAATGGCCAGAGTGAGCAGCAGAAAGGCGCAGCGGGTCAGGGCGTTCATTTTAACTTAAAACTGATTTGTGCGCTTCGGTTAACTTAAATAAAATGACAGTAAACCTAAAAAAATAACAAATTGGAATGAACGCGAGACTCAGTGTGACCGTGTGCGGGATATCCAAAAACCCCTGCATCGGAAATTATTAAAGGGGTGACAACCCTTTTGGAATGTTTTTCAAATTATTTGAAATTCAAAAAACTATTGTTCATTTTTCGTTCCTATAGTACGCGCTAAATTAAAAATCGAACATCAGCGAAACTGTCAAAGTAAAAATAAGGATCAGAAAACAATGCATATGGATAAATGTATTTCAATTCAGTGTTCATATTACTAGTTCAAAATTAAACATGTTAAATTTAAAGGAGTCAAAAATTTAAAAAAATTAATTTAGTCAATATTTTAAAAAGATGTTATTTAACTTGAGCAATTTATGTCACTTACTTTACTCTACATGGCTTACGTTTCTCATACGTAGTGGTGTGTACTAATAACATGGTTTCGAACCGGGTATTTAGGGTGTTTATTTCAGTATGTTTTTTAGAAATGCAACGGCTTGTTTAAACGCGGCAGCCACGGTCACACTGCTATTTACACGCCCAAAATTTATTCAATTGCAACGAAACTTAACAGAAAAACACAAATTAAGCAATGAAAACACTGGAGAAATGTGCCCTTGCCGTTGTGGTGCTCTGCTGTCTGCTGCAAGTGGGTGAGTTTTTGAGCGGAAGTGAACTGCGCCTGCGCAACCGATGCTAACTGAAGACACCCTTAAAACCTGCATATTTTCAGGCCAGGCGATCAAATGTTGGGATTGTCGCAGCGATAACGATCCGAAATGCGGGGATCCCTTCGACAACAGCACCCTGGCCATTACGGACTGCCAGCAGGCACCGGAATTGGAGCACTTGAAGGGCGTGCGACCGACGATGTGCCGGAAGATCCGGCAAAAGGTTCACGGGGAGTGGCGCTACTTTAGGAGCTGCGCCTACATGGGCGAACCCGGAATCGAGGGCGACGAACGCTTCTGCCTGATGCGAACTGGCAGCTACAACATCTTCATGGAGTTCTGCACGTGCAACAGCAAGGACGGCTGCAACTCGGCGGGCATCCATCGCCTTGGCTGGATGGGAGCCCTTTCGGGAACTCTGGTTTCCGTCCTTGTGGCCCATTTACTGCGGCAATAGTTGGAAGGATCTGTTTCCTCCAGTTATAGCTAATGCCACGCCTCCGTTGGTCGCACCTGGGCCACAAGACTGTCTAAAATCAACAAAGGGATTTTTGCTCAATCAAATTTTCAAAATATTTGCCAAAAACAGCGGTAATGAAAGCGGAATAATATTGATTTCGAAACTTAGTTATCTTTTTGCAGTTACATTTCACTAATACTCGCTTTTTTCCTTTATACATTTCAGTAATATTCGCTTAATTTGTTTTAAATTATGTAAAACTCTAAAAATGTATAATGCTATATTTGCGAGCTATAAAAGCCCTAATTTTAATTGAATAATGCAGAATCGAAAATTGTATGTCCAGTTAGCCTACAATTGCTCAAAACCGCTTAATTATAACTTCAAAAACCCTTATCTGATTTACGACAGTCTTGCGCCCTATACGCGATGTGAAATTAAGTGCCTTTCTGTAACTACTCGAACTATAACTTACACCTGGAAAGCTTATTCCGTCCAATCTCTTTTACATGACATTTCCTTTACAATAAGCTGAATCTCCGCTTGTTTATAAAAGTTACCTTAACAGAGAAAACTATTTCCCTCCAAACATTCCTAAGCCATAACATTTCTTAACTCGTAAGTTCAATTGTGTAATCTCCACTATTCTCTACTTGTATATTGTAATGTTTTTACAAAAAGACCCCTAGTTTTAGTCGCCAGAAGGCTTACAAGTTTTTATTGTAATGCAAGGACAATTAGATCATTTTTGTAATCCAAATAAACGATTTATACACCAAGTGTCTGTTTTCTTGTGTTAAGACAAATAGTTCCATGGTATTTGAATAAAAAGAAGAAAACAAAAGATGGAAGAAATTCTATGTGATGAGGAAGAATGTCAGAGTTGGTTCAGAATCTTATCAATAAATCGATAGAAGCGTTTTCCTTTTCTTAAGTGCCAGGAGTTGACCATGACATTTTCCGAATAAAGTGCATTCTAAAGTTATAACAAAATTTGAAAAAGAACAACCTATCCCTATTAAACACTAATGGCCACAAAATATTGACTGCAAAATATGTTGCCATAAACAAAATAACTATGTTTTCAATTGTTTTCAGTAATATAATCCAAGTAAATTATTTTTTAAACCTAGTATTAGTTGCAAAAAAAATTCCTGAAAATCCCGAAACGCTTCTTTACATTTTCTTTTTTTTAATAATTAAAACTGACGAACAATTAATTTTAGGTTATTCCGCATTTTCGCATTTGCAGGGCTGCTTTATCGATAAAAGCCTTGCGTACTTCAACTACTCTCCCATCTCCAATTCCTTTTTCCTTTCGTATTGTACGTCCCGTGCTCGGCTAGATTTTTTTAATTTGTCAATTGTGTGTATTTAAAACATAGTTAAATGCTTTGGATTCTATAGATGCGAACAATGTTTTTTAATTAGGAATTGTTTGTGGTCTTTTTGTTTCGATCCTTAATTGTGTTTTTTGTTGTCCAATTGCAAAGTTTAGCAAGTCCCGTTCTCGCCATTTTTTTTTTTTTTTTTTTTTGTCTATCGTAATATTTTTTTTAACTGCTGTTTGTTGGAATAAATAATTGTATGGCATCAATGGATGTGAATTGTGACCTGGACTACGGACATATGGATATGGATGATTTTCATGGCGAACTAATGTTGGACTTCGATATGATTCATAAGGAGCTCAGCGATTATTACAGGTGTGTATAATAATGGTAATTCCTCTCGAATTCCAAAGTTTATTTTTTTTATTAATACATGAGTACATCCATAATACATAATAATATATTTTTATTAATTACATAATAAATTGTATGTATTCATGTAATTAAAAAAAAAAAAATCGAAGAAATATATTCCTTATCCCTGCCTTGCCACCATTTTCTTTCCAAGACCTTTTCTAGTTCATATAAATTTTTATTATTTTATTATAATATACCCTAATGGAAATTGTTGACGATAAAAAGAGAAATTAGCAATCCCTCCCTAATTAAAATAACTTCAGGCTTTATTATGTCCCGATAATGTTCTTTAAAATAATGTCCTAAAAAAATGTTTGGTTGTAATTTCACTCTTATCTGAATTTTATAAAATACAAATTTGTTTACTTTTTTTGTTTTATCAAAGACTTTTATTTAAAATTTACTTTTTGTTTGTACAGGTATGTTATCAACATTTATATTATGAACTTCTGGATCGGCTTTAAATCCCTCACAAGCTCATGTGAACGGCGAAGATCGCCAGGAGAGCAGTTGCGCTGATAGCCAAGAAGCGTCCCGCTCCGGAGGCGTTGCACAAGTCACCTTTGCAGGTAAAACAGCTCTCCACCTGGCGACTGTGGGTCACTGTGCACTCGTTTTCCTTCTGACCGATGGACTCGAAGTGGCAATCCCGAGATACAATTGTTCCAGCACGGTCTGTGGAAAAGAATTAAAACATTTATAAAATCTCTATGCTAAGACTATTTTTAATAGGGGGAAAACAAAAAAGTCTTTAAAAACTCTTTAAGAAACTTTTAAGAAATTGGCATATACGTGATAAAGTTTTTTTTTTTGCCGATAATTGAATATAGTCATTTATTTTAGTACTAATTCCAACTGTCTCATTGATATGCCATTTTATAAATTTGTATCACTCTAATGTGGTATGCATATTACTAAGTCCCACTTTCTCTCTTTTTTATTTTCCAGTTTATAAATTTGTATTACTCTGAAGTGGTATGCATATTACTTATTTGTTTATAGCCCTGTGAACTAGCCGCCAACGAATTAAATTGCAGTTGAACCAACAAATATTTCTCATTTAAAAGTGCAACTAGGCTCCTTAGTCATAACTCACACTTTGTTTTAACAATAAACTACTAATAAGTGCTTTACAACAGTAAAAACTACCACACATTTTACAACTTAATTTCTAATGGCCCCGTAGTCCAATAAGTGCAAAAGTTGTCACGTATATTTATTTTATTTTAATATTTATTTTGAATATTTCACTTTACCCTTATGCTTTTTCAGAGCGTTTTATGTTCAAAATTAATTTTTAACTTTTGATTATTTGGAATGTTTATTATATATTTGTATTTATCTCCGCCATTTTATCAATTAATTTATTTGATTTTCATTTTTATATTTGTTTTTTTTTTTTTAATTTTTATAGAAAACTTCTCTACCTGTGCTAATCAACAAAATGTAGTCTTATTATTGAGAAACGCACTGTATCTGCTTTGCATACATTTGGTGTTTAGCAAACGATCGGTTTGTGCTTTGTTTCCCATATGTTAATTGGAACTCAGACCCCATATTTCGCCGGAATGACATCACGTCTTATAAAAGTGTTCATTGCGTTCAAGGTGCGTGTGCCTCAATTATTTAAATCGGTATTCAAAACGGAATCTCCGTTGCGTTACACTCACCGCTGGTGACCACCTTGTTGCACCTGGTCACTGGCTGCAGTTGCTCCATCGTGTTGGGTTTGGGCACAGTGTCGCAATCCACGGACCGGATGTTGGATGCGGCATCGATCTTATCCTTGGCGCAGTTGGGATCCGTCAGGGATTTGCACTGATAGCACTTGATGGCCGAGGCTGGAGTGGAAAGAATTTCATTTAAATCAATTAGATTTTATTAACTAACGCCAATGGCTTGGTCAAGGTCGCCGATTTGAATTTGCTTAGCTTGTAACCAGTTTGAGATCTCCGTCCCCTATTCGAGATCTCACTCGTTTGCCTTATGTAACGCCCTCAGTCAAATAAACAATAAAACGCTGCCCATCTACTTCCCAAACTCCCTGCAACTTGACGACTATGAAGTCATTTCTATATTCCATTCCCAAACGTATGGAAAAGTACGTGAATTGTTCTGTTTTTTCGTATTCTGTTTATCTTTTTAAGCTGCGTTGTGTTGCTTGAAATAATCGTGGGCGCATTTGTTTTTGAAATATTTTTGGTGGACGTGATGACCCAACCCAGATTAAAACTGATGAATTATATGTAATTTGTGTATTTTTTATACTTATATTTGGCGGATGTAATGACCAAACTCTGATAGCAGCCGAAAAAGTTGATTTAACTTTTTTTATTGATAAAAATGTTAGATCTCAAGCAAAAAAAAAGAAGAGTTTTTAGTAAATGTGTTTAAATACAGTACTGTTTTCGAACGTATACAGTTCAAATATTGTTTCTAAAAAAACTTTTTTAAGTATTCACTCAAAACTGGTTTTCTTTTGACACAGATTTGTTAGATATTGTAATTAGTTAAACTTCCCTCCAGAAATGTCGCTTGAAAAGAAAAAGTAACTTACCACTGTGCATCAGGCACAAGGCAATAAAAAGAACTCCAATCACTTGTTTCAGCATTTTTAAAATTATATGAATATATTGAGTTTTTTGTATTAATTTTTATTTTAAACTCTTCTAACAATCTTTTGGTTTGATCTGTTTGGCAGACGCTGAGCGACTGAAATTAGATTCGGGTTTCTTTCTGCGCTCTTCCCAGTAGCAACTTGTTTCGCGAGTGGGATCGTCAAGAAAAGCTCTGCTCATTCGCTCAAAAATTGACATTAGCTGAGTGAAACTCGGAACGAGTTATTTGTTTGTTATGTCAACGCAGCCAACCACGCATTGGGGTCGCTGAAAAAATAAAACTATTTTGTTTTGATCAGTAGCTTCGCAGGCGGTTTAGTTTTTCTTCACTGGCGTTATGGGTTCATTGATTGTTGTTGGTGGTGTGAATTATTAGATACAGCGGCAAGTCTAATTATAAGACAGGCAAGAAGAATGTTTTTAAAATTAATATTAGATTGTGTCACATCAAACAAATGTTTAGGTATTCGGACTAATTATAATTCTAAAGGCTTGATTTTAATGCTTACCGCATTTTATTTATGTATATAATCCCCGCACTTATTGAATTACAAAGTAATGCATATCATTCGATTTTGTTGTTTTATTTTGAGAGTTCTCATATAGATATTTATTTTTAGGTGATGACCTCCGCGGGTACTTGAGAAGCTCCTTAAATCCTTTTCCTTTTCTTGAATCTTCCCTTGCAACTTGGCTTGTGTTCTGTATTCTTTTTTTTAATCCTGATTGCTTATTTTGTTGCATGTTATTTGAGCAATCGACTCATTCAATCTTTTTCTTTTGTCTGTTCCCATGACAATTTTGGTATGGGAGTATTTCTGCGATAAGAGCAACCGTCTGGGGAGCAACAAATCCTTTCTATGAAGTAAAACGAGTTTATGTATTGAAGCTACAGATTTGCGATTTAAAAAGATTTATAATTCACTTTGGCTACCTTCTTTATCTTGAATTCCATACTCTCATATATGTATTTACTTTCAAGCTTCTTCATGTCAGATTAAATATTGGCTTTTGAAAGCTTTTTGAGACTTTTTGTAGTATAGTTTGCCGGTGTTACGAAACTTGTTTCAACTGCGCAGCAAAAACAAAAATCGAACTCAATCAACTTCTGAATTAGCATGCTGTATCAAACAGTACTGATTTTTAACCAAGCATGACCTGACTGATTTAAAGAATTGGGCGAAAATTTGTTTATATATTTCAACAAGCAAGAAAAACAAAAGCTTTAACAAAGCAAATAAATAGTAAAAAACAAACAGTTCAACAATTCCTATTTTAGCTTCAACTTTTATCACCTTCATTTTTGAGTTGACAGGAGGGGCATTTTCGTTGAACCATCATTTAAAAATGCAACTACAGATTTTCCGGTTTTCGCCAAAAGCATCTCTATTGTCATATTTTCCGACTCACTTTAATTGCGCATAATTAGAAATCTGCAATGGGATCGACGTGGCGCAATGTGACCGATGCGCTGCATTTCCAATAATGCAATACGAATTGCTAAACTTCCATTAAAAGGGTTTGGTTTTCGGGGGCATAGAACGTAGAACATTTCAATTTCCGGCCTCTCAGCGGGTTTTTGCCGTCTATTGTTCAAATATTTGGCATTCAATTTCTTTGTAAAGCCGCCAATTTGCCAAATAATTACGAATGCCGACACGAGGTGGTTTTTGGTGCAGGGATTCATCGAATGTTGTGGTTTATAAAATATCTTAAGCGGATTTTTCCTTTTTTTTTCGTTTTGCCACATCTCCATCTCACTTTTCTTAGCTTTATTCTGTGGTCAGCTGCAGCAGCAAGTTCTGATTGAATTTCCTTTATCATTTTTTTTTCTGCCACCGTATAGTGAGCATAGAATTTTTTCCATTATGTTTCAGATGAGGAGAGGGTATGGAAGTTGCAGCTGCATCCTTCGTCGACTTATTTCTCTGGAGATGTTTGCGTTGGTTTAGAATTCAATTATATATTGGGGGAAAAGCATAGCTGCTGCTATATTTTTAGATACCCTTAATATTAGTTATTATTTTTTAATGGGTATGCATATGTACATATACAATTAAGCAAAACAAAAATCTGTATAGTCTTATTATTTTATTATTTATTTAAAAATGTTGAATATGAATAGTAAAGTTTTAGTTGCAGGGTAAACATCTTTCTGCATATTTTTTGTACCTTTCTTCGCTTATTTGGTATTATCGACATTATGATCAGGCTGCGGAAAATGCGCCTTTCCCTTTTCCCGTTTTATATTTCCCGTTCTTTACAAGGACCAGTTGCTCCAGGTTGTATCTAGAGTCCAGTGTCCTGTTGCCTTTTGCTGACCATTTTCGCAATATGATATTTATAGCTATTTCATACTTATTATATTCAATCTGCTTTTCGGTGCACTCGGACAGCAACAAATTGAGGAAAATCCCTGCAACGAAATTTGACTTGCTTTGCACATTTTTAATAAGCTTAAGGCAGGGGGATCCGTTTCGTCTCCCTTTTTGATATGGTTCGGTTCAGACTGGTCTGGCCAATTGTCATTTCATTTGGAAAACCTGCTCTACCATAAACAAGCTGAAAATTTTCAATTTCGTCTTGGGATTTCCCTGCATTTAATGGCTGGGAAGAAGGATCGAGGAAGCCCAAGTCCATTACCGAAAAACATAAACAAATTGTTTGGCACTTTGCAAAGAAACTAAAACACGCCCATCTAATCTGTTCAATAACTTGGAAAATCATTGCCAATAAATCAAAATGACTTTGCAGGATGTGTGTAGTATCCGAGCTCCGAGGCAGGCGAACGATAAGAAATCAATGTCTGGCCATTGTTGGCTGAAGTTGAAGGGCCTTTAAGTCCTGGCCTTTGTAGGGAAATTTAAAATTCAACACTTCGGGGGCGGCATAAATTGCACATTTTATTTTACGCAACATCAGCAGAAAATCGGTGGAATGAAAAGGCAAGAAAATCCATTCTTTGCCCTCGCATTTCTTGCAAAGTATGTACTGAATTGTGCCTGGGGCTTTTTTAGGTTAACGCTCGACTCGCTCCCTCGCTTATTTTTCTAGATTTTTAACGCTGCAGTTAACACATCATTTTTCGGGGCATTGTTTCGGTCGCCTTCCATTATCTTTCACTTGCGATCTAATGAAGTGTGCAAAGTGTTGTCTGCCCAACATCAAGCCGCCAGCTCCACGGGTATATTTGTATGCATTGCGAAGGAGTCGCCATTAGCAGGGGCGCAGGAACTTTCTGGCTCTAAGGTTGGAATACAGATATGCGCTTAATACATTTATAGAATTTTTACAAAAGCCTATAGGCACGTGGTAATTTTTCAAGTTGTAGTTTGGCCATCTCTTCTTTACTAGGTTGGTGATTTGCTTTGTGGTTATTTATTTATTTTGTTTTAGTTTTATATGTCAACAATATGTTCCCAACAGTAGCATTTTATATTGTAAAAGCCATTTTTTTTTTAATACAAGGTATTTTAATAAAATTCGTGAAAACAATTGATTCAAAGGTATTTTATACTTCTTTATTCATAAAATGAATGCTGATTTTAATGCCTGGTCCCTTTCCCTCCGCCACTGTGCTATACGAAATGAGCCCCTGACCACTTCGCATTTATGCACCGCTCCACCCGAATAACCCCATCCCATTCCAGATAGCCAAAACTTGGAGCTGCTGAACTGCTGCTGCTGTCCACGTTTAATGTCACTGGCAAAGTCGCAAATTGCTGTGCATGAGCTTTTTATGTTCATGCAAATGTCACCAACTGCACCACTTTCTGATGGAGCTTCGCCAGTGCTGTTCCGCCTCTTTTGGCGCCAATTCCTTGCCCCCCGCCCCTTCGGACTCCTGCTCAGCCATGAAGACTAAAACTTTTGCCAGCACTGAAAGAATAGCATTCTTCTACGATTTTCAGTATCCAAAATAGTAGAATTCACGATCATGTTTTACTTAAGGGTATCTTATTTTAAGGATTTAGGTTACATTTTATAAAATGTTATTGTTGTGTATGATTGATTTTTTGTTGATTAAGATACCTATTACGTGTTTGAAGAACCCAAATTCCAAATATTTTTGGCTTAATATGTTTTCGCTAGAAACTATTCTCAGTGATGATGGACTAACGTCCATAATGTGCCCGTTTGCCGGGTATCCCAGTCGACGCTGCTCTCCGGTCTTTTGTTTGGACTGCAACGAAAAATGCACTCAAAAGTTTACACAGAAAGGCCATAAGTGGCCCCCAAAAAGCCCAGCTGAAGTAGAATCGAGGACGGAGAATGGTGAAAGGTGAATGGTGAATGGTGAACGGAGTCCTGTCCCTGTCCGTTCGGCCTTCTCGGCTGTTGTCCTTTTTAGCCACTAATTTTGCGCTTAGACGCAAGGAGAGTGAACGAGGAAATCTCTTGTCCAGCGTTCCCTCGTCCAGTTTCCAGTGTCCAGTTTGCTATCTCTTGTTTTCCGCTTAAAATCAGATGTCGAAATAATTTGCAACACGTCGCTTGGCACGTGGGCATAAAAGCAGTGGCTCAGAGCAATTTGGAAAGGGACTCTGGATCTAGCAGGCCTTAAATGGAAGAGGAGACATCTCCAAAGTGGCACGTGTTTATAGACCAAATGGTAGTACGCTTTTGTATTGGCAACAGCTGCAGCTCTTGTTTCAAAAAGGAGAAAAACAGTTTCAGTTTGAATGATAGAAACCATAAGTCTTACGATTTAAGCGCACTACGAATCATTTTCAAATAAGAAACTAAAATTGGAAATAAATTTTTACTGTTAAAAATAAGCAAATCATCACAATGCTGCTGAAAAAAATTTATATATAATATTTTGAATTATTTTAAACGCTGTGTATACAACACAACAAATTCGTCGTCTTAAATATAATTTTCTAAAGTCCTGAGCCTCATAAAAAATATAAATATGGGACTCTAGCTACAAAATAAGATTGGTACTTAATAACCTTGTCATATGAATTTAATATTTATTCGGATTTATCGCTTAACAGCTGAACAGATTTCTATCTTTAAACAAGTTCACCCATTTTATTTGTTATCTTGCTCCCAAATGTAATTAAGGGTAATCTCGTTTTCC